ATTCTTGAAATGCCTGTTAAATTTTTCTTTTGAGGAAAACCACAACAACCATCAGCCACTTCTAGTTGATGTAATCTTCAAGAGGTTTGTGGCCTCATCTCCTCCTACAACTGGCTTGTGGTTGTCTTCGTGCACCAACTAACTTGTCTTGTGGATGATTGTTAACGGGATGACGATATTTGCGTTGACGAATGCATTTGAAAAAACACCAGACATGCTGCGTTTCCTCAGACGCACCTTCTTTGACCGAGTCATCACCTCCAAGATCGTCACCTCACTCAGACAGAGTCTTTCTTCGTTTTGAGATCCTCGACAGTCGAGTCTTGGTGACGCAAATCACTCTGATCATTTCCTGACAGTATTTTGCCATATTACCACTCACGATTTCTGGTTTAGCGCTGAAATCACCGTCAGAGGGATGTAGTAGGGTATGCTGAGGTTCAATGCAGTCCTGAATGAGAGCGAGGCGAAACTGAACGACCACGCTAATGTAAATTACTAGAGTTCATTGCGGCCATCTTTCTGTGAAGTCCTGCTAGCAGACTGAGTTCACAACTGCCTTTCCAAATCTTGATAAATTAGCAAAGCGAAGCTTTGAGCCGCATTGGAATCGGCAGTCGCCTTGGGATATAATTTTACAAAATTACACAGACTTACAACTGCTGGATTGAACTGACCATCAAGCAAATCGTCGAGTTTTGTCCAAATAACTTTCCTCTACACTTTAAGCCCCTGTTCTATTCCGCAGACTGCGCAGTGTTCCCTGGAACCTTCACAGAACTGCAACAGGCCCGTTAGACGCGTTTATTCGTTGTTCGCTCTTAAGCCTCTCTTTCTGCTGCCTTTCGACTTCCATGCTTTTTTTGCAGGTTCTAACAGACGCTTCTTTCCGGTAAAATAGGTGTGTTGGCAACTTTGAAAACAGCAACTATCCACGGAACCTCCAAACCCACATCTAAAGTCACAAAAAGACGATCCGGAACGTTCGACAATGGGAAACACTGAGCGTTACGGCAATAAACATGAAACAAGCACTTGTCACTCTAATCACTAGTTAACACTGCGTTCCCAGTTGAGAAATTGTAAGTGGAACTTAGTATGGCTCAGAAGTACGGAAACAGACAAGACAGGAATGAAATGGGAGATGGTGCACTTCTTCCATGTTCTGTAGATTTGTCTCCCTCGTATTCGCATCACTTCCGGCAACCATTTAGCAATTTACTTGAGATTGCATTAAGAAACATGGCTGGACGAATGTTATGAGTTAAAAATCCTGAAATTTGTGTTGCAAGACGTCGAAAATAAGTGACTATTAACATCAGCCAAAACACTACTGATTGGTACCGACTCTTCGTGCTTGTAATGAGTAGACTTAATTGAAGTTATTGCGATGACTCATTCCTCATTTGCCGAGAAAGCAAGAAACATGTCAGGTTTTTTCCGGAATCCTTTGAGTCACTGCCACTGGCCCATTTCGCTGCCATCAATCGATCGCTTCGTATGCGTCACTGCTTCACAATGATGCTTTCTTTAAGCGATTATCGATGACGTTCGTTTGCGTTAGCTACTTAATGCACTGCAGGCACGGTTGTTGGGTTATTGAGTTTGTTGTAGTGACTAATTTTTTTTTTACATAAAAACCGCAATAACTTTTTCCACAATCCGATGATCTAAAATGTCATCTTGCTAGGTTGTTGTGCACCGGGACATCGCTTTAGGGGAGTTAAAATATTTTAACCTTTTGACACTACAAACTGCGTGGTTTTTCTAATGATTTTGAAAAAACTGTAACGACATTCTGCTCCAATCAAGTGCCCTTTCTAAAGCACACGAGAATCGTCTGTGCGGCTGCACTCTTTCGGCCAGATCAAATGTCCTGAGTCTTTCAGCCAATCAATTTTAGGTGCTTCTTTCTGGAAATTAGTGCTGTGTGGAAATTTGTACCAATCAGGATTTAAACATTTTTTTAGATGTGGAAATCGAAACAAGTGTCTCATTTGTCCTTTTTAATTTCAAACTGGCTTTTCGGAACAATCAGTGGCAGGTACCTCGGAAAAACTTTGGTGTTTTAGACATGGAATTCATTAATATGAACATATGGGATAAGGTTAAAAGTAGCGCTTCTTTTTTGGGTAAATTCTGACCAAATCAGGGTTTGTGTGTCAGCAGAAATACGGTACAGTTTGTGTAAGTAACGCATCATAATAAATTACATTCTACTTGAATCAAACGATTAATATTCCTGTATCAACTTCGCTGTAATGCTTAATTTCAGTTAGTTTTCACCTGATTTGCAGCTTTTTTTTAATCGTCACACAAATAAGCAGTGTTTTTGTGTACCCGCTGTAGTTAAACTAATGAGATTATCTTTTATGATGCTAAAAAGATTGCGAACGTCTTATTACGCAGATTTGTGTGTCTAAGGCCCAGTTTTCAAAATGCCAGCCTCAATTCCAAGTGATAGTTCACTAATAATAGGTATTATATTGTCAAGGACACGTTCCAAATTTTCCCGATGAACAGGCATCCAAGTCACATGGTTGACGAACGCGCAGCAGGGCGCTCGTGGTAATTTGTGATCGAGCCAATAGTAGACGGATTTTAGCGGACATGGCGGCTTCCAGGTGAAAATAGCACGCGGTTGAACTTAATTTTAAACACGAAAATTTCGTTTGTTTTCGGCATTTAGTCGGGATACGTCATCTCACTTCTAACTGTTAGTACTGACATCGATGTGTCGAAGGCGTGAACGATTGTCGGGTTTAAAAAACTGATAATAATAAGCGGGTTGTGTTAGTTTCACCATTCTGTGAAACGCGGCAAAAGCACAGCAACTTTTCAAATGAAATTAAGGCTTGTGGTCAAATGTCTCCATTTAAACAAATAACACCCTTGAAGTAATTGTAAGGGTGGCATTCCCCCAAGACAGTTGACTTAGTAGCCCTGTGATTTGTGACTGTTGCAATGACTCTGATCTGTCCAAACGATCACGATGTTGGCGAAATCTCAGAGACGGTGCCGCATGACAGACCCACACCATGCTGATTTTCACAAAACAACTCAACACCACTCAGTGTTAACCACTCAGATTCTCGGGTCAAGGTGATCCAGGCAAATATTGGGAGCGCATTCTGTCAGTGGTTATTCGTGTACTCGCGCTCTTAGCGTAACGCAAAGACCCACAAGTATTTTAATGAGCACTGATTGATTGGTTAATTTGTCATGTAGATTGTTTGAAGTTTGTTGTGCACTTTAATAACCGCAAAGTTATCAAATAAGCACAATTTTATACAGATCGTATTGTAGAAGAAGCTAGAAAACAAAAAAAAGGTGATGGGGTTCAAATGTTACTTTTTGGGAGAAATTCGCCATGCTTAAGCGTGAAATTGAATTTATGTCGATGTTTAATTTATCAATCTACTAACTCATTTTCAGTTCAGTACGACTGTGTGATTGCTAATTCCAGTTGGTGAGGTGTCTTAGTGTAGGTATAAAGTGGAAGTGTCCACATTATTTAAAACGAATAAATCCTCTGAGAGTTTAAAAACAAGCACACAATTTCTCCATGAATTGACCTAATTGAAATTAACAGGTGGCAAAAATGATAAACTCAAAAAAATAATCTATTGTAAATGTATGAATGAATTTATTTTAGTATGGATTTTGATTATGAAGATTTATAACACTGCGTTTTAAATATTTTGGGTTCAATTTAGGCATAAAGCAAATACATTTTACTTTTAAATTAACAGTTGATATCATAATATGAGCGATGAGAAGAGGCGAACAAGGCATTATAGGACGAATTGCATGCAGGGTCCGAAAATATGAAGTTTTCAAAGTTGCTATGATGTTTAACGGCTCTCAATTTAGGACTAACGTACTAATATGAGTTCATTTGGTTCGTTTGAATTTATAAGAACCGGTATGAAATCAAGATTTCTTATTGAATAAAAATTATTAATCTTTTTCTTAATAGTTTTTAGATTTGAATTTTTTATTATTACATAATTAATACCAATCTTGATAAAGTGCAGTTTATTGTACATCTTTCATAATTCTAGGCTAATTGAAAAATAAATCTTGTGAATTACGTCTTTTAAGAATCACAAAAAAATATTCTCTAGACTACAATCCGACTGGCATTCCCTTGTTGGAAATCTCAGGACTTTTAATTCGTTGGAATCGCGTGATAAATTGGGGCCAGAACCTAATTGGTTGTAAAAGAGTGAAATTTTGTGTGGCATGTTTGAACAGAAAAGACAGGTATTTACACAAGGGAGCTTTATACATAGTATCTTCTTTATAAGTTGATTTTGCGATACATATCTTGTTTATTAATGTTTGTAAAGTTAAAAATTACCGCCCCGTGGGACTGCATATATTTTTGGGGTAGGGTGTAAAATTCCCAAGCCTCAACAAAAGAGCGTGGCTCGGAATGGATGAAGTACATTGCGTGAGAGTTCCTTGCACATGAAATGATTGCTGTGATAAAAATATAGCATGTCTCAATTTAGTTTTATGGGCCTCACATATGCCTATGGCTAGTTACTCAGAAATTCCAATAATGTCGTTATTGTTACCATTTTTCACACGTATATAACACATTTGCGTATTATAGCATTACATGAGATGTGCAACTTTTTAAGGCTTGTATCGTGTTTAAGGCCTCTTGCTGCCTATGACTACATTTTTGTCTGACCCACCGTTGAGCGTCTGAGGTTTACAGATTTTTAAGATGTCTATCTTAGTGACGTGTGTCACTCCAAAAACAGGGATATATTTGGTCGATGCTTCGCGTTTTGCGATCACAATTAATCGTTCAACTCCCATAATCAGCCAAAAAGACTTGCGTGCAATTAATTATTGGGATACCACCTTTTTCTAAACTAACATCTAGCGGTATTCAAACAGGTGTTCACTCTTTTCTAATTATTTGTTGATACGAAAACTATTAAAAGCTCGTTAATGGATATCTCGATTCCAGTATCCATATCTGGATGATCAACGCAATGGTGAGCACATTTCCACATCGAAAAAGGTTTGTTTTGCTTGATTCAGTTTAATCCCACATTAATATAGACAAAGACGGAGGCAGCTCTACCGTCTCCAGTTTTGCATATTCGGTCATTGCCGGCAGACATCACTGAAAAAGAGGTCCTAACTCTCGCTATTCCATTTGGCTTACTTGAGAACGCTCTTGTGACCAAAACTGGCCAGGTAAGTAATTGAATGTAACAATACGCATATCGTTTCTCACAATTAGTCTTCTAGCGATCATCGTTTAAGCGTTTAATTACATGTACCATCCTAAGGTCTCCTAATTCAAAAGAAGTCATACAAAGATACGCACCTGCTTCTTATGCTCAGAGTTAGTGGATTATTTTTTTCTCCTAGCGCAAGAACCCTTTAGAAGTTGAGAAGAAGACCAGCATTGCCATGTACTAAAATCATTAGCTTGTCTTTAACGCCTATGAAGTCACCATTACAAGCTGGTAACTTCTGAACTTGGCTTGTACTGTGTGAGTTAATACGCGTTTTTTTAAGTAGACTGTCACATTTTCCTTAGGCGATGCTTGAGTTCCAGCAACAGGAAAGCGCCACAAGTATGCTCAATTACTACACCCTCTACTCACCGCCTGTGATTCGCGGCGCACACACTGTCATCTTGCAGTACTCCAAGTACCCACACTTGACAATGACCACGAGACGACCCGGCCTGGCAGAGACCATCGAGGGTGTGAACAGGGCACATGTGTCCCTTGTGTCACCTTCTTCGTCAATCAGCAGCTCGCGCAAAGTTCTGCGAGTGCAAGTCGACCAGCCGCTCACTACACCGCTTGGCTACATGCCATTTTACCAAGTAAGTGGAGGTTTTCCGTCAACATTGTCTGACGCTGCCAATGTCCGAGTAACTCGGCCTTGCGAGTGTGTAGGATTATCATTTCATCATAATTTCCTGTAAGAAATTGTCGTTTTCCGTTGATTTTGTTGACTCTTTATATTGCTTTGCAAGGCCCTGTATCGTTTCGGTCAAATCCTCCGCATCGTTACTTTCAAAAGTGGTTCCAGTCCACAGGCCTTCGTTGAGTTTGCTCAAACTGCTTCGACGGACGTCGCGAAACACGTACGCCTGTCTCGTAATTTGCCAATTAGCTTTCGAATTGGCTTGTGAGATCTTACTGACGTTTATCTAATCTAGCAACTAGACGGCTGGCCGTTTGTCGCTGGGGGTATCTGCCGGACCAATTACTCTCACATGGAGACGCTGGAGGTGCATCAGGAGAGTCAGTACTGCCGTGACTTCGTCAAGAATCCGATATTCTCGCACAAGGATCCGTCCGACCGGCATCTGGCGACGGCATTAATGGGGACACAGCCGCTGCTACCCACTCCAGTCCTATCCATGTCTGACGACATGACGGGGAACGCGTCGACATCTCAAGTCCAATCCACCACTTCTTCGAACTCGTTGAACCTACCGTCGGCACAGCAGATGGCCTCGCTTGACATACCAACACTCACCTCATTCGCAAATGAGGTGATTCAAGCCATAAGTGAGTTACCGACTTATCGAAGGTGGAGACCTTTTGGCCCCTAATTCCACTCATATTGTTCATTTCTGCTTTGCAGTCCTTGTCGTATCTGGACAGGGTGGTTCCAGTTTGCCTGATGCTCCAAGTCAACAGCAATTGCAAACCCAGGTTGCCAGCATCCAGCAACTGCTTCCACTGGTCCAGATCGCCTCCGCCGCCGCCGCAGCCTCCAGCAACTGCACCGCCGCCAATAAGGGTCTCGTCCAGTTGACGGGTGGCGGCAGTTGCGCCAGCACTATTACGCCACAACTCGTTGACCAAATAACGAACCTTCCCACAATCTCCACTTCCCTCATGGCCTCGCCGGTTCTGCTTGTAACTCAACTAAACGCAGAGGTAAGACGAGAGGTGGAGGAGGCATTCCTGTTTGAGATTCCCGTTGAAAATGCACCTTTCATCACCCATCAATGTTTCACAATAGGCATGTGTTCATACTTTGACCTAGGAGGTTGTGTTCGGTCAGCACATTTGGGGGGAGCCGACCCAACTTCCCGGTTTTTGAATCTGTTCCATTTGGTGGTGCAATCGCTTGGAAATGATTGTTTGACTGACTCCTAACTGAGCTTCCGCAAGCTCTATTTGCTTTTGCGAATGGTCACTGAGTTCGAAATCACAAACTTTAGAACGTCTGTACCAATAATTACACGTTTCATGAGACACAAAGTCGGCACCAAGAACACTGCAAGCGGATTCCCGTGCTTCAGAAGCAGCGTTTGTTCTCTGTTGCAACTAGTGTAAAATACAGTGCCACGCAATCTGCTGTTTATAAGTTGTCGTTCGATGTTCTGAAACCTTGCGTCTGATCCCTTCAAAACCACAAAAGACCACGGGAATGTTTCTATTTTAAAAACTGTTTGTAAAAATTAAGTCACACTCCTTCTATTTGGGGAGCAAGCGGTGTTACCTATGTCCAACTAATCCCTGTTTTCGTACCTTTTCTCCTCATCCTCTTCTCTGTCTCATTCATCTTCAACCTCTTTCAATCTCTGGCTGGACCTCCTCTGATCTTCCATCCTCCCCTCTCCCTACTACCTCTACTACTTCTGCTGGACTCTGGACGAAACATCATCGCCGTTAACAGGAAGTCACTCCCGACATTCTCTGCACCCTGTTCGGTACCATTTCCCATTCTGTCTATTCTCCCATGCTGATTACCCTCATCTGCTATTTTTTTTTATCCGTTTATCTTTGTCTGTTTTCTTGGTGCTCTTCCTAAATCGAGGCAGTCTTTAGATCGTATTCACACTTGGAGTCTCCTTTCTGGAACGTTAAAAACAGCCCTGTCCTGTCTTTATTGCTTGCTAATCCACTTAAATACAAACGAAGGCCTGAATCTTGTCGCGTCCAAAATATGGAGCCTCCATTCTCACACACTACCCTCTCTAACCCGCTTTCTTGCTTCGCCGAACTTACAGCCCCGTGATCCTACCAACCCGCTTTGCAGATGCCTCAGTCAAAACTACCGCCCCAAGTGTCTAGATCGTTGTATAGTGGACATTTCAGGCTAATATGTCGAAACCCCTTTTTAATTAAATCAGCCCAATCTTGTAGTTGCTCGTCGCACACATTTGGTCCTTCCCTGTCTTCTCCTAGGTGTCTATGGCGACGTGCAGCGGGTGAAAATCCTCTTCAACAAAAAGGACTCTGCTCTCGTCCAGTTCTCCGATGCGAATCAGGCAAGTCTCGGTAAGTCGTAGAACTATTACGTGTGTCCGAATTCCATTGGTCCAGGGTAGGTCAGGAAGCTGACCCGGAAATCGGTCGTGCCTTTGTCAGATTCTGTGGTCTGTGAGCTCACTGGCATGCATCTCAGCTCCGGTTGTGATTCTCGGTTCGCGGAATCGTGAAGTGTAAAGCCGCCACATTAGGCGACGGCAACGTGTGTCAATTCACCTGTGTGCTTTTAGCGCTTCAACACCTCAATGGTATTCCCCTCCTCGGCAGCAACATCCGCTGTCACCGGTCGAAGCACCTAAGCGTGACGATTGGCGCCGATAGCAGCAGCAGCGGCGGCGGCGGCGCTGGTGAAGCGAGTTTGACCCGCGACTACTCGGGCAGTCGGCTGCATCGTTTTCGGAATGCGAACTCCCGCAACTACCAGAACATCTGCGCCCCCAACACCGTCCTCCACGTCTCCGGAATGCCCGAAGATGCAACGGAGGAGGAGCTGACGGAGCTCTTCACCAAGCACTCAGGTGTGGCACCGGTCTCCACGAAGTTTATGGAGTAAGTCGTCTGGTTGGAAGCATCGATGGTGGTGTCTTCCACAATTGTTGAGTACCAAATGGAGCGGACCATTGCGAATTCCCAGGGTTTTGTCAAACAGCCCCTTATAATCGCCATCAGCTTCCGCTCTGACGATTTTAAGGTTCACAGGTTCAGTTTTTTGAGCGAATTGACTTCCTAATGACCATAACCAGGCCTAACTTACTCTCTTCCATCTTTTTTCCGTAGCAGGGATAAAAGAATGGCGCTGGTAGAGTACTCGAGCCTGGCGGAGGCTGTAAATGCCCTGATCGTAAGTTCAACGTCCCGCCGTGCGCCGAACCTCCTCAATACATCGTTCGGACTCATAGTTTTTCCTCAATTTTGCAGAAACTGGATACCTATCAGCTGAGACCCACTTCCAGAATCCGTGTCACCTTCAGCAAGTGTCCAGTTAACCGTGACCTCCCTGCTTCCTGACCTCATCTGTGCATGTCCTACTATCTGCACGTCCTCCCAGTACCCTAAATCCTATGTTTATATCGCACTCTTGTCTTACTGGTGAATTATCGGTGTGTTGTTAGGTGAAACGTCAGGTTGACGAAACCGCACCTGGTCCTATTGGCTCAGGACACGCTTTTGATCATTGCAATCCTTGATTCCTCTTTAGTGAAGTAATTCTCCGAAATCGCACGACCCATGAAGCAGCGGCTAGGTAACTGAATCCATGAAGGTAGTGTTTAATTCGGTTTGCGGTTAGGCATTGACAATGATGTTTGGGTTAGAGGCTCATGGGGAAACAGGGAAAGCGGAAGGATGGGAATCACGGTATCACGAGTTTTCTTAAAGATAACGAAAAACTCTTATCAAACGTTCGGTGGCTTATAATATGTCCTATTTAACTACAAAATTAAACAAAAGTTTTTAAGCTGGAATCACTATCGACGGCGCTTGTACACCAATGCCTGGAATTTATAAACAGTGGCGAAGCCCTCTCGTAAGAAAGGTTAACGGAAAAAAGAATTGTTGTGGCCCCGGCATCTGGTCTTGAACCACGCCGGGGTCACGGAATTAAACCTGGTCCGATTACGCTTCCCTGAAACCCGCGATGATGAAAAGAGTCGGAGAGGACGTGGACACAACCGTTTACTTCAGAGGTCAACCGCGGTGGTGTCGTGGGTGGTATTTGCATGTGTATGCATACCTTAGATGTGTGAACGCTCGACGAGCTAAGATCGTGACCCAGGTGCGAAAAGGAAGCAGGTCGGAAGGAAGCTGGAGTTGTCGGATTAGCGAGTGTGAATGTAGCGGCTGGGTTTAAACTAAAAAACGTGATTTGCGAGAAATATGCGCATTATCTTTGTTGGTAAACATTCCAGCGGAAAGTTCTAGAGTGTATTTGGTTTGGATTTAGTTACGATTCCGTAATTAATCTATGTTATCTCGCCGCTAGTCGAAACTTTTACATATGTGGGAGCCCTTCAACATTCCATGATAAATAGACACAAAATTGCTTTTCATGCTTGCTTAATGTAAAATAAAAAGAAAACTAGTTATTACACGACACTGATTTCAGTGGGGCATTGTTTTTACTGACAGTGAATATAGTGTATAATTTTTCTAGAAACATAATTTGTCAGGATATACTTGCGGATGACACTTGGGGTAGACCTTGTGTTGCCAGCACAGTTAAATCATAACCCTATCCACCGTCCCTCCGCAGGCATTCTTGCTTTGCTGCAAGTAATCTTTGAGACCGCCTTTTACTTCACCGTAAATTCTGGAGGATCCAGGTTAGAATCATTCCTTGTACAAATAATTTTGCCATTTTTAGAAAGAAATCTCAGAATTAGCACATGTTGCTTTGAAAAAAACTCAGCCTGGGAATAGTGGATTCTTAAAATTAATTACTGCTTTCCTCGATAAAATATCTAGATCTGGTAACTCATTAATTCCGAAAGTCAGATAATGCATGATATTACGGTACACATAAAATAACATTTTTGCATATAGCTTTTTTACAGCACAAGCAAATTTAGTTAAGAATGTACAATAGCTCTCCGCCTTGCAACCCACATATTGTGTGCAATTGTAAAATGAACTGAGAATTGGAGAGAGCTTGGACCTAGGAAGTAAATTACAAAAAAAACAAAAGGACCTATATTATGGTGCTCTTTTTAATCTAGGCTCTAAATTTTAATACTTTGGTTAACCTGAATTTAAAAAAAGACATTGAAATGTGGCAATAATATGGTTGAATCTCCTGGTTATGATGTTGTCCAGAAGGGGTCAGGTGTCTTGGTGCAATGTGTTCCATACTTTCAAATGATTTCCAGGTAGAACAAAAGGTTGTCAAAAGCTTTTTATAATTGCGGGTGAAAGGTGATGATTTTACTGAAAGAAGGGGACATTACTAAACGCTAGCTAACATTAAGGTAGATGAAGTAGATCCTGTCGAAGACCTGGTGCGCTTATGAAATCACGCCAGGGCACACCGATCTATGCTGATTAAGACCCCGGCTAGTAAAGAATGAAAAGTTCGTAGATAGGGGGAGCGTCAATTAACTTATTTCCTCCGCAAAAGCGAGGTTATTATGCCCGCAGATAGAGTTTCTAAACAGGAGTTTCAATAGAAAAGCTTGACATTCATCTCTGGACGAACATCGCGACATGAGGTGCATTCAAGATGATCGATTGAATCCGTGTTCGCTCAAGCTTAGTAATAATGCTCGCTCCAAAAGCCTTTTCAGAGTAAGATCAGGTTAAAAGTAAAAAATCTTAATTCTTGCATATAAACCTTTATAAATATGGCTTAAACATCAAGTCAAAAAAAAAAATAGGGCGAGAATTAAGCAACGCAGTGTTTTTAATAAGTTATTGAGGGGGAATCATTATGTATTCAAGCCACCCTAAATTGGCGTTATAGAAAATTTCGGTGTAATGTTATCTAAATGATATACCCAAAAGGATTACGTTGGATTTCCTATAAAACCTGAAAAATCGAATTATCAAAAATAATGACATTTTTTTAAAACATAGATAAACAGATAAACACAAAAATGAAAAACAGCCGAAATTTGTAGAATTTTCCTTTTAGTACTGTCAAAAATCGTGTGCATCTTATAGCAGACATAATGTTTGTCAAATAATATTGTTCAATTTGAGGTTTTTTGCTCTAAATCGATAGTTGAGCATCGTTAGACTGCAGTGGGCGCCAGTGCGGCTTTAGAAATCATACCAGGGCCGACAACCTACATTGACACGGCCCGACCTAAAGAAGAGCAGGAAATACGGACAGCGCGTAGCTCAACTAATTTATTAAAG